ATAACTTCATAGGATTTATACATGAGCCAGTCAAGGAAATCATGAGATTGTGAATATGGCAAAAAAAGGTGGGGTTTGAGGGGTTTCAATATATGGCTCTTGGAGAAATTCAAGAGCTAATAAATACCACACCACAGGAATTAACAGATGACTTGTTGATGGAGATGAGTGCTTCGAAACCCGTGCAAGATGATGAGGAAGAAAACCTAGAAGCAATGCCAAAGAACAACCTAATGTAAGACATCTGGCAGAAGGGTTCCAATTATTCAAAGCAGCTTTTGACTTCTTTTACAACATGGACTCTTCTATGATATGGACACTGAAACTAAAGCAAACAGAAAAAGGATTGGTACCATATAGAAACATTTTTAGAGAAATTAAAAAGCAAAAATTCAGACAAATTACAATGTATTTCTGTAAAGTTAGACCAAGTGCCTCTTGTGCTTCCCCTTCCACCTCTGCCACCCAAGTCAGCAGGACCAACCCTTCCTCTTCCTCCTTTCCACTCAATGTGAAGATGACAAAGATGAAGACCTTATGATGATCCACTTCTACTTAATGAATAGGAAATATGCTTTATCTTTCTCAGGATTTTTTAAATAACATTTGTCCTTTTTCTAGCTTACTTTAAGAATACGTATATAATACATATACAAAATATGTGTTAATTGTGTTACTGGCAAGACTCACAGTCAACTGTAAGCTATTAAGTTTTTGGAGCATCAAAAGTTATACATGAATTTTTGACAGGACAGGAGGATGGTGCCCCTAACCCCTGCATTGTTCAAGGATCAAATATATAACTAACTGCATGAATGGTAAGTTACTTGAGGTCTATTCTTCATTCAGTACATTTTTATTGAACATCTATTTTAGGTGAGATACAGTTCTATGTTCTGGGAACAAGAAAAAGTCCTGCTTTCAAGGGGCTTACATTCTAGTGGGAAAGGAGACAAGAGACAGTCAAAAAATAAAAATGATGATAAAATTGTGGTAAGTGCCATAATTAATAAAGAGATATAAGTGATAATGGAGGGAATGGGTAACTAATTAAGGTCATGAGAGAAGACCCTCTAAGGAACTGACAGCTGACAGCTGAGAGAGAAGCAGCAGCCAGCCAGAGATGAACCTAAAAAAATATATTCCAGGCAGATGAAACAAGCTTGCACAAGCCTGATATGAGACAGAACCTGGAATAATGGAAGAGCAGAAGGAGGTCAGTGTGGTGGCGTGGTAAAGGAGTGAGGTTGTAACGTAAAGGAGATGAAGTTGGAAGGCCAGGCAAGCCTGATAATGAAGGGCCTTGGAGGCCACCACAGAGAAAGCCAGCAAAGGTTTAAGTAGGAACAATATTAGTTTCCAAATTTTGAAGCTCATGCATGTGGCTATGGGAAACCAACTGTAGGAGGCAAGAATGGAAACAGACCAGTGGGTCACACAGTCATCCAGGTGAGAGTGAAGCAGGCTTAACCTAGTAGCTGTGGAAAAGTGGAACTGGCATGACTTGGTAGTAGATTAGATATGGAGCCTTCAGGCTGAGCAAATGGATAAACTCATTAATTAAGGTAATGAAGAGCTGTTTTACTCTTTAACTTTCAAACAACTGAAAAACAATTTTAAAAATATGAAAAAATGGATTTTAGATGTTAGATGCTAGGCAGCACAGGATAGAATTAAACAAGGTGAGTCCCATGATTGATCCAAGATTATTACTTAGAGGCAGTTTTACATAGAGGCAGTTTCTAGGCTGTGGTGCAAGAAGGGAGGACCTAAAAAGAACCAAGCAGTCTTGCTGAGTTGAGGAGACAGATTTGAAAATCTGGGGAAGGCCTGGGGGTCTAGCTATTCTAGGTAGGAGTACCAGAGGGAATGCAGCTGCACAGAGAGGGGAGGGCTCCTTTCAAGTCTTTGGCTGAGTATTGATCAGCACAAGGATACGAAGAAATAACAGGGAAAGAACCACCAAGAAGCAGGCAGAAAAATTCCTGAAGTTCACACAAATCTGGGAATAGTTCATATTACTGCAGACAAAGAAAAAACCTGATAATGAACAGGGCGTCAGATAGAGTACTCAGAAGGATACTGCTTCAGTAAATGGAGAAAAGCAGCCCTAAACTAAACGCTGTTGTTGCCCACCTAACAAAGCTTAAAAGCAAGCCTTGAAATAATCAGACTGTTTCCAAGTAACTTTACAGTGTTACAAAACAAAGCTCTTAAGAATATTTAAGACTAACAAGAATGCAAACATACACACAAAAACCAACAGTATAAAATTCACAACCAATAAAAAATTACCAAGAATGCAAAACAGCAGTAAAATGACCCAAAATGATGGGAGGAAAATGGCCCCAATAACTGTTTTAATATCCTTATATACTATTCCTTTTATAAATATGTTAAGGTGGAGAAAAGAATACTCATGTTAAAGAGAGACATGGAAGATATAAAAAAGACCAAACTCAAAAAAATAGAGAAAAAAAAAAAAAAAAAAAAAAAAAAAAAAAAAAAGCAAACTTGAAGGCACAGCAAAAGAAACCATCCAAAATTTAAGACAAAGAAAAAGAAGACTGGAAAAATGTATAGAGCATCAGTGAGCTGAGAAACAACTTCAAGCAGTCTCACATACATGTAAATTTGAGTCCCAGAAGGAGGTAGATGAGGGTAGACTGCAGAAAAATTATTTTAAGAAATAGCAAAATTTTTTCCCAATTGTATGTGAAAATAGAAAACTATATATAAAATAATATGAATATAAACCCACAGATCTAGTAAGTTCAACAAACCCCAAGCACAGAACACATGAGAAAATTTATACCAATATACACTATAATTGAATTGCACAAATTCAATAGTAAAGATAAAAATTTTTAAAGTAGCCAGAGTTTAAAAAAAAAAAAGACACTTGACATACAGAGGAGCAAAGACTAGAGTGACTGTAGATTTCTTTTCAGAAACAATGTAACCTAGGAGGTAATGGCACAACCAGATCTTTAAATCTAGAATTTTATACACAGTAAAGGTATCTTTCAAATGTAAAGATTCAAAATCTTTCTCAATAGGTAGGCCTATATACCTTGCTAAAAAGGATTTTGGATTTTTATCTCCAAAGTACTAGTATGCCACTAATGGGTTCAAAATGATGAGACTTTCATTTCAGAAAAGACATATTACATTTGTGAGATGAATGGATTAGGCTTGGGGGAAAGGAGTCAAGCATATAGAGGAGCAGAGACAGCAGAAACTTGTTCAAAAAACAAAGGATGTTGACTTAAGAGTGGTGGCAGAGGGGAAGAAGAGTGGGCTGATTAGAAAGATATCTAGAAGATAATTATTCAAAGACTTGGTGATTGACTGGATGTGAGGTATGAGGAAGAAAAATGAGTCAAGAATCATTCCTAAGTTTCTGATATGATTAACTATACTTACATATAATTTTACCCACCTGAAAAATAATTTAAACCAATATACACCATCAAAACCACAACTGAAGCAATCCACACAAATAATACACTCTAAACACTGCTTTTAAGAATTCACTGCGTAAATGTATGTAAAATATAGAACAGCACTTTTTGTAGAAGAAAAAGATGAAGATCAGTTTTCATTTGAAATTTGCAGTGAGCTCAATTTTGGATTTGAGATCACTGCTACTGTTCCTTATGGAAATAGTAAAAGCATGGTTTCTATGAGCCATCTGTTGAGATGCTGAAGTGCTTCTACAGCACACTTCCTTCAAAAGGTAGATCACTATAATGGAGTTTTACCATTTAAAAATTATAATTCATGTATAAAAGTCTGCATATGTTTGGTAATCAGCATCTAGTTCAGCAACCTTGCTTTCTATGTTTCCGTCTTCATAGGAATTATCAGTGAGATTTTTTTGAAGGACTTTAAATAGTAGTAACAGATTTACTAAGTATTAAATACTTTATACTGTGCAAGCACCTGACATGATAACCTCATTTAATCTTAACAACCCTATTATGTATTGTCCCCATTTATAGTTACTATCCCCATAAATGGGTTAACAACTGAGGAAATTGATATGTGAAGAGCTAATATGTGGCAGGGCCAAGGATTTGAACCCAGAAAGGTCTGATCTCAATCCCTGGACTCTAGAAATCCACCTCTAAACCTCACAAATCTTCCTGCCTATTAGAAAATGTGCAACTGATACTCTAATTTTGAATGAGTACATGCTTTACATGTAATAACCCAGTTTCTAAATTACTTCTATTTAAAACTTCACAAAATCTAATTATTAAAATGTTCAGGCTTTCAATTTGCCTCAAGAGATTCTTCAAAATTAGCCAGGCATGGTGACGGGCACCTGTAATCCCAGCTACTCAGGAGGCTGAGGCAGGAGAATCACTTGAACCCAGGAGGCGGAGTTGCAGTGAGCCAAGATGGTGCCACTGCACTCCAGCCTGGGTAAAAGTGAGACTCCATCTCAAAAAAAAAAAAAAAAATTATTTAAAGCAGGTAACTTAATGAGCAAGAATTGCAAGTTGACTGTTAGAGTTTTCATTAACATATATATATGCATGTGTATAAGAGGATGCTGCATAGCAGAACCTATATCATCAGAGGTATGTATGGCATGGCTGATTATAGACACTGAGGACCTCAAAATGTACTCAGGGTTGAATACATTAAGTTGCACAACAGATAAACTATCAGAGATGCTTGTGATAGGACACATAGCACTGTGTTAGGAACCACAACTCAGATGATCTATACGGAAACCAGGTTTCCATGATTTCCACATAGAACATGGAAGCCATGTTGTATGATGGAAATGGATGAGCAGGCATACTTAAATTTCTCATGCTCAATTACATGGCCTATTGTATGCATGCATTGTTCACCAACAACTATACAGTTATTAGGATTAACTCAAAAGTATAAACTAATAAATTTCTCCACAGTTTAACAGAAACTTATAGTTTAAAAGTTATTTTTTCCCTTCAACAACAAAGAAAACCTAGAAACCAAAATTATCCAGTAAAGTTCTTTTATTCAGATTTAACCTAAAATAGTTTGCTTGATCTCTCTTTGATAGAGAAATGAAATCTCCAATTCGATAGGCTGTAATGAAAAAGTACTGAATTTGCAAATTTCCAATAAAAGATATGTGCTTCATGCTTTGGGCATCTACCATAGTTGCCCAAAAGACTATGTCCTGTAAATATAACTGTCACAGTACTGAAGTGCCCAGAATAAATTTCCTAACTAGAAAATTGTCCTTGTGTTACCATAACACACAGTCTTTAGTTGGCTGACTATTCATACTGTTTGAAAAGCATGAAAATACAGGTTTTTAGCATGCACACCCAGTTGGCAAAGGCCTTGTTCCTCTGGAAACACCATTCATTGGCAGAGCTGAGAGCACCTGTGCATGTGAACAAGCAGGTGGGTATCTCACTGGTTTCTGCAGTCATCTCTTTCCTTAATGGGTAAGTATTGATACCAGCCAGGGGAGAGTCCGGGCATTTAACTCAGCTTATGATTTAATTTTCCACAGCTAAGAAAAGAAAATCACCAAAATAAGTTAGTTCTAGGAAAACCACATGGGATTTACAGGTACACTTACGTGACTATAAACCAAGATTCCTTTATAAAAGAAGAAAACGTATCAAGTCTAGCAATAGCAACCATAGAACATCATAGAGAAAAAACATTTAAAACTTCCAGGATCAAAAATAATACAATGCACTTCATGTATTGGTTTTCATTCATTCTACCTCTGTACATTTCCCAGGATCAGAGTAAGACCCTTACCCAGCTCAGACTATTAAACTGATACAAAATTCAAATTTGATTTTTTTGTTCCATTCAAGAGCACTGTCTGTTATACTTGTATAAAATGAGAAAACCAAAGCTTAAAAGCCTGTGGACCACCAATCAAAATGCCTATTTCTTTACCTCAAGAGTCATTTCCATGCTAGAAACACGCACACACGTGTGTATATGAAGAACACAGATTTCTGTACACAGTAATTTTTAAGACTAAGATGCTACAGAGTGGTGGGGATACTTACTCTTATATTAAATCCTAGAAGATCACTTATAACACCTGAGACAGCAGAAAGGATAACTACTCTTGTGATATTGTAGATTAAGGGATTCATTGTCAGTCCATAGAGTCTAAATGGTGTGTCCAGCTCCTACAAAAAACATCAAAGAATTGAAATGAGATACATGTTTTCTCATAGCTATTCAATGACTTCTTGCTGTGTTTTATCTTGGGTAAAGATGAATGGTTAAGGCTGTCTTTCCTTAATATTTAAAGAGCTACCTTCAAAAAAAGCCATAATGTGTTTTCACCTACTTTTCCACCTAGCTTTTTTAGGTAAATTTGAGCAATGTCATTTGTGGTTAAAAATACACACACACACACACACACACACACACACACACACACAAAATGTGACAGACCTCAGTAATCATCAGAACCTGGGTAACAAAATTGGAAATTTTTTCATACGTAGTTATTAACCCAAAACCATCAGGTCAGCATTTTGAATCTATACAGCCTAGCATCTATCTCTAACGGGGTTCTGAGAAGTAAAACATTAATGTATTTAAAACAGGCTAACTCACTTTACTTTTCTGGCATAAAATCGCCACATGGGCCGGGCGTGGTGGCTCACACTTGTAATCTCAGCACTTTGGGAGGCTGAGGCAGGCAGATCACGAGGTCAGTTCAAGACCAGCCCGGCCAACACAGTGAAACTCTGTCTCCACTAAAAATACAAAAATTACCTGGGTGGGGTGGCACGAACCTGTAATCCCAGCTATTTGGGAGGCTGAGGCAAGAGAATTGCTTTGACCCCGGAGGTGGAGGTTGCAGTAAGCTGAGATCGCACCGCTGCACTCCAGCCTGGTGATAAAGCTAGACTCCGTCTCCCAAAAAAA